TTTGCAAATGGTGCCCTGAATGACAATATTGCCTTATCATCATTCCTGAATGCACGTGTCCCGCTGACTTACTCATTTAATTATTGCAAACACAGACATTTTAACAAGTTATATACTTACCTACCATATGAATAGTCTACCCCAAGCAGGTAAAGAATGGCCATGGGCTCCAAAAGTGTTTTAAAGATGTTAGGAGGTTCATCCTGTGACTTTGTTTTAATGAATCTGCTATTTTCTTAGATAGCACAGGTACTTGGTGGCATATCTGTTACAGGGGCAGTTACTTAGCTACTCGGGTCCCTAAGGCATGGCCATCATAATAATTATTCTGCTTTTTTGAGGCCTATTCTTGCACGTAGGTGCAGATAGCACCTCAATTCTAATTTTGGAATTTGCCTAAAATTTTAATAGTGGAGTTTTGTTTTTCAGCTCTTTGACAAAAATCAAGGTCAAGTGTAATGGGCTTCAACTATGAGCTTATTGGAGTAGTGATCAGAAAATCTGATTATAGCTACTACTTAGCCCCCTTCAGATCTTGCTTAGATGTATCAAATAAGGTAATTTATATTTCTGTAAGTCAGTGGGAAAATGTTATAAAACTATTTTTTTTTTTGAGACGGAGTTTCGCTCTTGCTACCCAGGCTGGAGTGCAATGGCTCGATCTCGGCTCACCGCAGCTTCCGCCTCCGGGTTCAAGGAATTCTCCTGCCTCAGCCTCCTGAGTAGCTGGGACTACAGGCGTGTGCCACCATGCCCAGCTAATTTTTTTGTATTTTTAGTAGAGATGGGGTTTCACCATGTTGACCAGGATGGTCTTGATCTCTTGACCTTGTGATCCACCTACCTCGGCCTCCCAAAGTGCTGGGATTATAGGCGTGAGCCATTGTGCCCAGCCTATAAAACTTTTTTAAAAATATATGGTTCAGTATGAATGCCAGACTTACATCTGTTTTCTACTCAGCATCTCCTCTTGGCTAATAAGCTTGTCCAACTTACCCTGTCTAAAATCCAATTCTTCCCCTACTCTACCAAAAAAAAAAAACCAAACCACTCATTTCTAGTCCTGTCTTTCGCAATAAAATACAGATGTATTTTTCTAATTATTTGCTCAGATGAAAAATCAGGGAGTCTTTCTTGATGCCTTTTCCATTTTCCACATCCCATATCCAGACCAACACCATATGCCCTTGGTTGTATCTGCAAAACACATCCAGAATCTAGCCACATCTCACCTCCACTGCCACTGCCCTATTCAAGCCGTCATTGTTTCTTGCCTGAACTATTGCAGTGGTCTCCTAACTGGTCACTCTGTGCTTCTGCCTTTACCTCCTTTAGTCCATTCTCAGCACAGCAGCCAAACTGATGATGTCACCCCTCTGCTCCAGGTCCTCCCACAGCTCCCAGCTCACTGTGAACACAGCATAGCTGGACATACTGTCAACGTGGCGCCTGTTTACTTCCTGCTGTACTCATAGGTATTTATGCCATTCATGATGGCAGTGACTTTGATTCTCTCCTGTATTGCTGTGTTTATAACATTTGTTAACATACAGTGGAAACTCAGGAAACATTTGAATGTTTGAATGAATGAAAGAAAGAATGAGGATCTCTCTCTCTCTCTGCACTTTCATTTCTCCCAACCGCTTAACAGGGAAATGTTTCTTTCCCTTTTTTTTTTTTTTTGAGACAGAGTCTTGCTCTGTCGCCCAGGCTGGAGGGCAGTGGTGCGATCTCAGCTCACTGCAACCTCCGTCTCCCAGGTTCAAGTGATTCTTCTGCATCAGCCTCCCAGGTAGCTGGGATCACAGGCACGCAACACCACGCCTGGCTAATTTTTGTATTTTTAGTAGAGACGGGATTTCGTCATGTTGGCCAGGCTGGTCTGAAACTCCTGGCCTCAGGTGATCTGTCCACCTCAGCCTCCTAAAGTGCTGAGATTACAGGTGTGAGCCACTGAGCCTGGCTTCCAGGCCTTTCTTTTATAAACATATTGATTTAAATATGAAAGCAACGCGTTTCTATTGTGAATATCACAGAAGTATGGAAAATAAAAACGCTGTTTCCCTTCCGGTGCCTCTACCAACAGGTCACTACTATCTCCTCCTGAAGCCCTTTTCTAGACCTACAAATGGCTTATCTCAATAGTCTTTGTTTGCAAAATTAGGATCATTCCATACAAATTATTCTACAATGTGCGTTCCCTCACCCCATTCTACATTTTTTTTCCTGGGCACTCTTCAGTACATCCAAAATGCTTTGTAATGCAATTTGTGTAAGGAATCATATAGGCAGGTTGGTTGCAGAGAAGTACTTTGCAAATAAAACAGGATTTTAATGATTATTTCCCCAACAGGTTCATTAAATGAGGTTTCTAGGATTTCTGATGTCTATCCCTGCTTTGGCAGAGCCTAAGGTGTTTGTTACATCTGTTATATTAAGAAATAAACCTTAAATCTCATGATGACTCACAAAAGATACTATAACAAAGAAAAAAAATATATTTCTTTGAACCCTAACCCTGTGAGGAAGGTACATGATTCAGTATTTTACAAGTGGAATAATTAAGCGTTGACTGATGTGCCCGACTTTCCATAGGTAGGGAGTTACCTCCTCAAATCCTGGTTTTCTGACACCTCTCGGTGTTAGCAATTGTTGTATGAGTAGCTGATGTGTTCATTTAGTTATACCTTCATCTTTTGCCTTTGTAACCCCTCCTTATTTTTAACCTTTTCATTGTGTTCTGTCAGGGCCAGAAGTTTTATGAGTTTTTAAAGAAACATCACATTTTGATTCAAGTTCTCTCTCTAAAAACCTTTGTCATCATTAGCACATTACAAATAGTGGCATGTCATCCCAGGCTGCATGTGAAAGGTAATTAAATCTCAGGGGTTTGTCAGGATTCATAAACTGCTTAAGCTCTCTGCCTGCTCTTCATAGATGTAGCATAACTTTGTGATTGAATTCCAGTTTGGTATTCCGTCTGGGACCACGTATGCTTTTGCTTGTATAAAGTCGTATATGTTTTCACTAAAGATTAGCAGAGCTATGCAAGAAATGGAAGCAACCAACGCCTCTAAAAAAAAAAGAAAACAAAAAGACAGGCAAATGTTGGGTTCTTTCTTCCCTTGGGCGCCTCCTACCCAACTCCTATTCTCATCAAGTTCAAATGCATGGAGAGAACCCTAGTAGTAAATGCATGTAAATTACACAAATGATAGAGTCTGGTGAAGCTTCAAGAGGGTGAAAAACTGCTAGAACTTTTCAGGGTGGTTCAGCACATTTGCTTAGAAGAGGTTCATTTGCATCATTCCCAGGATCCTCTGGAGCTCTTGTTCAAAAAAGAAAGGAGGCTGGATGTGGTGGCTTACCTCTGTAATCTCAGCACTTTGAGAGGCCCAGGCAGGCAGATTGCCTGAGGTCAGGGGTTTGAGACTAGCCTGGCCCATATGGTGAAACCTCATCTCAACTAAAAATATAAAAATTAGCCTGGCTTGGTGACTCACACCTGTAATCCAAGCTACTCGGGAGGCTGAGGCAGGAGAATCACTGGAACCTGGGAGGTGGAGGTTGCAGTGGCCGAGATTACATCATTGCACTCCAGTCTGGGCTACAAGAGTGAAACTCTGTCAAAAAAAAAGAAAAAGAAAAAGAAAGAAAGAAAGAGAGAGAGAAAGAGAGAGAGAGAGAGAAAGAAAGAGAAAGAAAGAAAGAAAGAAAGAAAGAAAGAAAGAAAAGAAAGGAAGGAAGGAAGGAAGGAGGGAAGGAAGGAAGAAAGAGAAAGAAAGAAAGAAAATAGGGAAAGCTTTCCACAGTGGTTTGTAAGGGTGTCTGTTTCTCTTGACACTGCATTGATGTTGAACTCTGGGAAAACCACTTTGTAGTGTAGGTGGTCCGTGAGCAGTCAGACTCCTTTCCCAAAGCTCTCTATTCCCTCCATGTCTGACCTAGTACTGTTGGAGTGGTCTGGCTTTATGTGATGACTTCAGCATGTGTACGTGGTATCAACATATTTTGACTTTCTCCCTTGGTTCCTGTAGGATAAGAGTGGACCAATTTGCTTGTTAGACCCAACTCTCACCCTGCATTTGCCTTGGAGTTGTTCTGACTACAAGGGAAAAGGGAAAGAATGAACTGGATGATGTATGGACAGACAAACCACTAAACCACGGTTGGTTAAACATTCCCCCACTTGAACACCCAGATGAGAACCCGTGTCTTAAGAGAATGACAGCCTTATCTATGACTATTTGCTAAGTTCTCTATGATTGTTTTCTCCATGTGAGAAATAACTATAGGTTAGAAAACTAAGATCTCAACAATTAAAGAAAAAAAGAACCAACCAACCAACCCAGAAACAGCAAGCTCTCTTTGCCCTTTGATGGACTCTGTCAAGTCCCTGGGAATATACTAACAGATAACAGCAGGTTAGAGCCTGGAGGGATTTCAAAGTCATCGTTTCATGAGAAAACTGAGGCTGTAACTGATTTGCATAAGGTGACAAGGCTGGTTAGTGGTGAACAGGGACCATGTTAATAGCTGAGTCTGGTCCAGTATTCCTCTCCCTACTTATAGTGACCCCAAATCCTGTATTTCTCAAGGAGATTTTGATTTCAGGCACTTTCTACTGTCAAGAGTATTTGCATCTGACAGTTGCCCCACCCCAACCTGGGGCTTAGCCGGAGTTACGGTCATGCCAATCGCAGATCATTGAGCATCTGAGTTGGCCATCTGTCTCAGCTAAGAGCTGACTCTTCCATTTCCTTCTTAAGACCTGATTTGAGATAGTCAATACCTCAGGCATTGTAGAAATTGCAATCATTCTTAAAAGAAAAAGTGTAAAATTTGTAATAATATTTAATTCCTACAATTTGAAAGAACTTGAAACTGCAATTAGATGGCAGTGCCCATCTGCTTCCAGCGGACTCTCATGCTCTTCGATCCCTCGGAGGCTGCAGAGGGCCGCCATCACCTTCGGATGTGCTCCTTAACAACGTGCCCACAGTCTCTCAAGAGGGAGCTCCAGATGGTGAAGGAAACTCTGCAGGCCATGATCCTGCAGCTCCAGCCAGCAAAGGAGGTGGGGGAAAGAGAAGCTGCAGCTTCCTGCATGACAGCTGGTGTCCGGGAAGTGCAAGCCTGAGGAGTGACGGGATGGGGGAGGGAGGTGGGCCACCACGTCAACAGTTTGGACCCGGGGGTCTACTCTCCCTTCCCACTGCATAACTAATGTGCCTGAATCAATTATGGAGACACAGAGCCTTGATGTCTTTCAGTGGAAAGGTGGTTCATGTTCATTCTTATGAGTCTGAAACTGAGGAGTCTGCAAATTGGAATATGGAGAGGGAGACTGATTTGCTGAATTTGCTTCTAAATGTAATTAAAAAATTTCTTTTCCATGTCATTCATGGGAATGTCCTGCACAGGATTCAAGAATGTTTTCATCTCAATCCCCATTAGAGAGAAGCTGGGGCGAATTCTGGAAAAAATATCTCTTTTTTCTATACCATTTGCCTTCTGCTGTAACTAAAATATTTCCTGATTCAAGATTCTATAAAAAGGAAACCAAGCATAAGACTGTGTCATCCTACCTGTTACACGTTCCTACAGGTGCACCATCTATGAGAGTTAATTAACCTCAGAGTCTGGAATTAACAGCTTTTCACCTTACTTCTCCTGTGATCTAATATTATCTTAGAAAAATTAATATGCAACTTCCAAAAGATATTTTGGTAAGGCAGCAGCGTCTCAGTGATATGCCACCTTTCAGTTTTCCTTCGTGGCAATGATTACATCTGAAGAAAGGATCCTTGAGAGTCTCTGTTTCATCAGGACATTCTGAAATTTACCTATAGTGAGGCTGTGGATGGATCAGGAGACCTGCATGAAATATTTGAGCCTGTTCTGTTTTCCCACGGAACCTGTTTCACTCAATGCCAGGCAGTGCAGCATTTAGGAAAGCAGTGCAGTACTCAGTATGGCAGTGCAGTACTCAGTAATACAGTACAGTACTCAGTTAGGCAATGCAGTACTCAGGCAGTGCAGTAGTCAGTAAGGCAGTGCCGTACTCAGAAATGTAGTGCAGTATTCAGTAACACAGTGCAGTGCTCAATAAGGCAGTGCAGGGCTCAGGCAGTGCAGTACTCAGTAACACAGTGCAGCACTCAGTAATACAGTACAGTATTCAGTAAGGTAGTGCAGTACTCAGTAACACCATGCAGTGCTCAATAAGGCAGTGCAGGGCTCAGTAAGGCAGTGCAGTACTCACTCAGTAGGACAGCACAGTTCTCAGTAACACAGTGCAGTACTCAATAAGCCAATGTAGTACTCAGTAAATCAGTGCAGTATTCAATAATGCAAGGGCATTGCAGGCTCCTGCTGGGCTCTTCCTGCAGGCCCAGCTAGGACTCCTATTGAGACAGCTGCAAAACAGGCTGATTTCAATTAGGCAGCACTTCCCAAAGTGCACTGATGAAGGTGGCCCCAAGAGGTGCTCTCTGACCAAAGGAGTCCCCTCTCTGGTCAAGTACCTTTGGTAAGTACACCATACCATAATATCTGCTTGGAGAGCCACAACACACATTAGCATATTAGTCTGTGAGAGAAGTTATAATAAGGAAAGCCACTTGATTTTATCTAACCTCAAACTTTCCAAGTTTAATGGAGCATGAATTTTTTTTCATGTAACTCCTATCCATATCCCATAGATCTAGTATTGGTCAGCACTGCACTCTCTGAGGAAGGCCTAGTCCAAACACTGATTTACATCACTTTAGAAACCACACTCAAACCTTTGCAGAGTGTTGAGCTAAATAATTACCTGCCACAGATTGGTCAATTTAATCCAGTAAATGTTCTGTTTGTGCTTCTGTCCTCATTTATATGTTCAGGGATAGTGATGGTCCTGCCTTCACTAGGATCCATGGATATGAGGCCATTTTGGTCATTTCCTGAAGTCACACTGGCATTTCCAGAAGGCATCTGGTGCTTTGCTGAGCCTTCCATGCTGTGCAGCACTTCTGTCCTCAGTCGAGGAGATGGCCCTGCTTAAGCCAGCAATTGGCTGGGGTTCAGGAAACGAAGCAAAAGCACAATATGTGAATGTGCTGATTGTGTTCCCTACGGCTTTATCTCAAGCAAAATACACTCTACATATTTTAATAATAAGCATAATTAGTTTGTTCCTGGACTTCATTTTTCAATGATGAACCAAATTCCTGAATCATTTATAATTGTGTTGAAAGAAAATTATGAACTAGTTGCATGGCACTTGGAATCCCTGAATTAATTCCAGTGAAGCAAAACTTGGGAAGAGTCAGGATTGACCACGTTGCCAATAACAAATTTCTACTTTGACATATGTCTTTTTAAAAGCCTCCCAGACCCCAGACATGTTAACAGTCACTAGCCCAAGTGTTTTGTATTACTTAGACACCATCATGAAGTAATTCTGTGAGGTCATGGTATATTTGAAAATTCTGCAAGTTAATAACTGCTTTGAATTATTTGAACCCTAAATAAGGGTTCTTTGGTACCTCCAGTAGATAGTGTATTCATTTCCCTGCAGCAAATTTTGAAGTATTTGAGCAGGTGAGTAATGTTTCAACCCCATGCTGTAACTCATCTGTTGTCTTTGCTTGGTCTTAGAGTATCATTCAGAAAGCCTGCTAAGAGCCAGAGTGCTGCTTCTGGCTACACAACCTTCTCAGGACAACCCCACTGTCTTAAGCCACTTTAACCCTGGAAGACCCAGGACCGTGTATCCCCAACCATAGTATAAGGCAGGTTTTGTCAGGGCAACATAAAAATGTCTGAGAGAGGTTAGGACTTAGATTTAAAAGCATCAAAACAACAACAATAAAAATTTGTGTTGGAGATAGCTAAGACCACAAGCAAAAGCACATATTGAAAATGATGAGTTATAGTCTGATTTGACTGGGATGTGGTGTGAGAAAGTAAGTGAGATATTCTACTGCCCGCCTCGCTGGAATGCTGGCTTTCAAATGGTCACCCCTTTTTCTTTCACCTGCCTGAGTTAGGACATGCTGTCTAGCAGGAACAGTCCCAGTTTCATCCAACTTTCTGAAATTTCCAAACTGAATTGATCCTTCTCCAAATAGTATGTAGCATTGGAACCTCATCTTTCCCTGCAGTAAGGCTGGTTTCCCCACCCCAGAAACATGTAAGGGTTGGTACCATGCTAAGCTTTTTACAGTCATATCCTATAATCCCCATATCAACCTTATAAGGAAGGTGTTTGTGGATGATGCAACTGAGCCTTAAAAGGACTAATTCTCTTTTTCTAAGGCACAGAGCTGCTAAAATGTGGATTAATAGTGAACCTAACAGTCAGAGACAGGCAGCGTGCCCTTAACTAGTCTCTTCCTAAAGTTCCTTTAATGTCCTTTTGAGACTTTGAGCCGTGGGACTTATTTGTTCACCTGGTTAAGAACACATGGCCACTGTGAAAATCTTGGCTGGGGAGTCAAAGAAACTGAGTCTAGGGCAAACAAGGCTTCCCACACTTCCAGGGGAGCCTGACTGTGAAGTCTAGGCTCAGACAGCCTTCAACAAACCTATTCACCTCCCCCATCATCCTAACCTAACCATTCCCCAGTCATCCCAGGAACAACCACTCACAGCCTGACACTGGGCAGATTTTCTTGAAGATCCTCATCCAGGTGGTGGTTTTCGGAAGTGCTCCAGTATTATGAATTCTGTGTGTGGAGAAAAGCAACCATGTACTTACTGGTCAATGCCTTCTTGTATATGTAATTCAATACTTTTATTTCTAATATCTGTACCTTATCTAATCTTTGAATTTTGTCATATAATTTATTGCTTCATTAAAGTTACTTTTTGTTATATGAAATAAAAGCTGATATCCAAGCTATGGTGCACCTTGATTTTTTTGTCCTTTGAAGTATGGATGACAGAAAAATGTATCAGGTTTATTCATCTCCTCTTTCTGTTGCAGGATAATTAATTGTACAATTACGTCACACAAAACATTTATAATAAAGCCATGCTTTAGAATTGCATATGTGTTTACTTTCAGATATCAGCAAACCAGAAAGTCATGAAATATTCTATTCACAGACTCCTAACATTGCCACTAAGAGTTGGGAATAAGACAAGGATACCCATAATACCACTGAAAATATTTTACTGGAGATACAGGCTAATTTAATTAGACAAGAAAAATATAAGATGGTTACAACTTGAAAAAGAAAATGTAAAGCTTTAATATTCACAGTTGATGTTACTGTAAGCTTGAAAACCTAAGAGAAACAGCAGAAAAACTTTTACACAGTTAACACAATCAAAATCAACACAACCAAAATCAACAGGCTTCATATATACAGACAATAATTGGAAGATCAAATATAAGGAAAGACCCCATTTTCAGTAGCAACAAAAAGCAACAGAAAATGGCTTGGAAAACATTTATATAAGAAATGCATGAGTCTTAGATGAAGGAAATTTTAAGATGAAGGATATGAGACAAGAATTGAATACATAAAAATACATTAAGTTTTGGCTAGAAAGGCATCATAAATTGTAAAATTTCCATCAGTCGATTCATAAATATTTTCTGACCCCAAATGGGACAATAGTTGTCTAGCTGGCCCCCATATGTGTTCTCTCCTCTATCCTTCTAGCTGTTCTGTCTAGACCCTTAAATTGCAGAGGTACACGTGTGCAGAATCGCAGGTGTGCATTTGTAGCCTTGTTTGTAAGAACAAAAATGAGAAACAACATTTTCATTTTCATCAGTTGGAGACTGGTTAAATAAGTTACTGTACATTCACACTATGGGATGCTTTATAGTTGCTAAAAAAAAACTTTATGTTCATATGTGCTTGTCTCTGCAGAGCTATCCCTGGAAAGGGATCCAGGCAACTTAGCGGGGGAAAAATGGGAAGGAGGCTTACTTTTCTGCTCTATACCATCCTTTTTAACATTTGATGCCATGTGCATATATTTACCTATTTAAAAATAATATCATTTCTTTAAGAAAAAATCATAATTAATGGGACTGAGAGTAGGCCCTCAAGTAGGGCAGGTCACACAGGCTGTTGAATGGTTGCCCAGGTCTCCTTGCCGCTGATGCAGGAATCATCTACTATTTATTACCTACCGTGTGCCGCAGCACTGCGCTAGGGTATTCACCTGATATTGGTGATCAAAAGGCCAGTATGACGTATGACATAATGTGACCAAATGATTTTAAGATGGGAAGGAAATTGATACGGTTAGGCTTTGTGTCCCCACTCAGATCTTATCTTGAATTATAATCCTCGTAATCCTCATAATGTCCAAA